TCCCGATTGAATATTTAGCTGAATTTTCGGTATGAGTAAACTAGACTTAATGAAGAATATGCTAAAAAAAATTCATCAAAAACTTCGGCCGGATAGAACCTCCTATAAAAGGGCTTGTTTGCATTTTTTATGAAAGTTCGAGTGCTTATTTGATAGTTCTCCATAAATAAAAGTATAATCCTAACCAACGACCAGCCCACGAAGGTGGACCCAAGCCCGTTCTCGCCCCTCGATCTCTCTCCTCTTAATCAATAAGGCATTACAACTATCATTATTATAATATTGTAATAATTCAGTGTTTTATTATTTGTAATAATTTTAAATTTACCATTAGTTGTTAATTCTAAGATTTTGAATTTGAAAATTCTGTGCAAGTCATTTAAGTTTGACTATTATATAATTATTATTTAAATTTGTTACCTAATAAAATTTCTAAGGAAAAATTCACAGGAATAATCCCAACTATTAACAGTCTTCCAATATTAATACTAAATATGCATAATTCTAAAATAATTTGAACTATAATAAGCCTCTTATCTTCATGAACCAGTGACCTTCATAAACCTATTCAGCAGGTAACTCAGACACGTGGCCAATTTTTTTGGTTTTATTTTTTCCCATTTTTGTTTTATTTGCTTTTTTCCTTTTTGTTTCAAATTTTCTTTCATCTGTCTTTTCTTTCCTTTACGCGTACGAGTGTTCCAGAGAACCAGGTGAGTAGGGATGTCGGAGGTCGCGTGACCTTTCCTTGTTCCAACGTCACCACTCAAGTCAGATAAGCACCCGTCGACTGTCTGTCCCAGGCATCACCGGTGTCCTTGCATCTTATCAGTTCTTCATCACCATCTATCCGTCCATTTTAGTTGTTTTTCAACATCAGCCCTCTGTCATTCCCATCTGTTCTTCGTCACCGGGCGCCTAGTCATATCAACTGCCTTAGTCCCAATCTTTGGCCTTCCATCATTCAGTTTTGGTCATCGAACCTGATGAATTAGTGCCAAATTAGATTTTGGATTGATCAAATCAAATCTTTCAAATGTGAAATTGAAAGAGTGACAAAAATTTGAGGAGCAAATTAGAGAATGAAGTCGAAGGTGAGGTGTAATCCATGTGGGTGATGTGGGTGGAGGGAGAAAAGAAAGAAAAATTATAGGACAAGTCAAGGAAGAAGGAAGTAAGGAAGCTAGAAAAATGGTGAAGATGAATGAATAGCCTGATGCCAATTTATTTTTCTTTTAATTTTTTTTACCCGTTGTCTAAGTTGCGGGTAACTTGGATCAACTAGGGAAGGTTGTCTATAAATTTCAGATTATTTTAGAATTAGGAAAAATTGATTGTAATAATCCCAATTATTGGCAGTCCGCTCATAATAATCCCAACTATCGATTATTTCATAATAATTCCAACTTTAAGGACCTTTCGCCAATAATGGTCCGACGTGACCGACTATAAATAAATTTCTATAGCTTCTAAAGAGATAAAACAGGTAATCCTTATAAATAATCCCAAATTTTAATTTTTACGCTTAATTTTTATTAAAAATTCACTTGTTAGAGCAAGTAATATGCGGTCATGGACCATTATTGGCGGACGGTCCATATAGTTGGGATTATACAAAAATAATCAATAATTGGGATTATTGTTAGCGGACCACCAATAGTTGAGATTATTATTTTGGAATTTTATCAATTCAGGACCCGAAAGATAGATGAATTATCAATTCGGGACCTGAAAGATGAAATCTATTGGTATAGGACCCGAATGATGAAAAACTATCAATCTAGGACCTAAAATTTCATAGGTTTTGATTTATTTAATTTTTTATTAATTCCATTGCTAATTTTTGATAAACATTTCTTCACAAAAGTTTATTAGTTTCATAAAACTAAATAATATTTAAAAATTTTAAGATAAAAAAATTAATAAAACTTCGGACAACTTAGGTCCTAAATTGATAATTTCCAATCACTCAAGTCCTAAATTGATAGTTTTCTATCATTCGGGTCCTTAGAATTATGCATATTTGGGATTAATATTAGAATACCGCTAATAGTTGGGATTATTCATGTGAATTTTTCCAATTTCTAATGCATATTAAATGTTTTCATTCTTTCATACATTTTTTACACTTTTAATAAATTAGGAACTGACCATACCGGAACTCGGACAAGACCAGCCATGATCCACCGCTAATTGAATAAGACTTTATGCTAACTATGTGCAGCCTGATACACATTGGTGTCCATGCAAGGGGAGTCTAGGAAGAGCCCAAACACACTGACGTATAAGGAGAAAACTTTTTCTTGTCATTTTGACAAAAGGCCACTCCGAAGACTTAAACTTAGGGATGGACCAAACCGGGTCGGCCCGGCCCGGCCCGCCACTGTGCGGGCCTGGCCCGGCCCGGCCCGCCACTGTGCGGGCCTGGCCCGGCCCGGTTAAGGATAGGGCGGTGCGGGCTTTGACCCGGCCCGGGGGAGGGTAGCGGTTCGGGCACGGTTCAGAAAAATGAAGGCCCGGCCCGGTCGGTTCGGGCCAACGGCTATTTTTTGTTTGTTTTTTGTTTTGGCTATCCAAACAGGCCTTAGAGTCGTTGTGATTGAACCCAAACGGCTATATAGCCGTTGGGAACCTTCCTGGGGTCCCGGGGTGGGTTAGGGGGGGGGTGGGGGGTGGGGGGGTACAAAATACCTATAAATACTCCATTATTTTTTTTGTTTTTTATATAAATACTCCATTTTTTCTATACAATTTACTACACATCTTCTCCAAATATTCCTACTCTCTAATCTCTATTCTCTACTAATCTTCTCCATCTTCATCTTCTCAAATTTATAACTACATATATTATATTATATTTACATATATAATCATCTCTAATTTATTTACTTATATTTACATTTTAGATATACTTGATATATACTTATATATATTAAAGTATTATATATAAGTGTATTACTAATCTTATAGTAATATACTTATATTATATATACTATAAACATAATATTATATATTACTAGTTAATTTTCTTATTATCTACTTATATATATATATATATATATATATATATATATATATATATATATATATATATATATATATAAAGTATATCTACTTATACACTTATTATCTAATTGTTACATTTATTAATTTCCTATCATAGTTAATTGTTACATTTATTAATCTCTTATCATAGTAGATTAGTAGTTAGTTGTTACATTTATTAATCTCTGTAAAAACTAGTTAATTGTTAAACTTGTTAAATAAAGTTGTTAGATTGTAAAACAAATAGTTCGAATTTTGTTAATTCCAAATTAATTATTTAATTGTTAAATTAATGTCACATCTTCTTTGATGGGTAGTTTTTTTCATCAGCGTTGTGCATGTCATATTTTAAATTTATGTGTAAAGGACGGCCTAGCGGCGTTGGGAGATGCTATGGAGGTGGTGAAGGGGGGAATTAAACTTATTTGGGCTAGTTCTCAACTTAAGATGCAATGGAGAAATTTTTTGAAAGAAAGATGTGTCAAATATTGTGCTTTTCCTAAAGATTTGTCTATTCGTTGGAATAGTACTTATAACTTAATTAAGGTGCTTATTAGATTTAAAAACCATTTTCCTGCTTTTTTAAAAGAATATGCTAACTATATTATAAACCCGGCCGACATCGACACTTGTGAAAAAGTTTTGAATGTTTTGGTGTATTTTAATAATGCAACTCAAACTTTTAGTCATGTTTATAAACCTACCGCAAACCAATTTTTTGTTGAAGCTGTTAATCTCGCCAGCGCTTTTTGTGAATTTGCTGATGCCGCTTACGTTAGTTATTTTTGTGACTTCATGAAACAAAAGTTTTTAAAATATTATTCCTATATTCTGCATATATATAGTATTGCATTTATTCTTGATCCTCGTTTTAGACTTGCTACTTTGGAGCAATGTTTAGATTACAATTATGCTTCTTTTTTTGGGCCATTGCCTATGTACGATGACAAGGCTATAGACCCGAAACAACATTTTCAAGAGGTTAGTAATTTATTATATCAATTATTTAATGAGTTTCATGCACAATATGGTAACGCACCCCCTCCCCCACCACGAACATCTTCTTCATCTAAAGGAAAATCAATTTTGAAATCTGCATTTGACAATCTTATGAAAAAAAGTAAATCGACTCCGGTTAATGAACAAAGCTCGATCAACGAGCTTTCTTTGTATCTAACATTTCCTGTTGAGTATGAAGAAGAGGATGACTTTGACGTTCTTCAGTGGTGGAAGGAAAAAGAGAGAACGTTCCCGATCTTATCAAAGATGGCTAAGCAAGTGCTAGCAATGCCCGTATCAAAAGTTGTTGTGGAACAAAAGTTTAGTGCCGCCGACAACGTCCTAACGGATTATAGGACGATATTGAGTGCAAACTCTCTTGAGACGCTTGTTTGCTTCCACGATTGGTTGAAGGCCAAACATAGAACTCAAGAAATTAGCATTGAACCCACCCACCATTTTATGGAAGAAACAACTGAAGATGGCGGAAATTCTGATTGATTCTTATTTATTAAAAAGTGTATTTCATGTTGTAATTTTTTCTCAATTTCCAATTGTACTACATATTTCAAATTAATACAGTTTAAATTTTTATGTCCAACTAATCTGAATTAAAAAAAAACAAAAAAAAAATAAATAGCCCGGGCCCGGCCCGGCCCAAACCGGCCCACAACCCGGCCGGGTAGGCCCGACCCGGACCGGACCCGGTATCACCCCGGGCCGGTTCCGGGCCCATGATTCAACAAAAAAAGCCCGCCCGGGCCCAGCCCGGATCCGGACCGGCCAGGATCCATCCCTACTTAAACTCGTGACCTCTCATTACCACAACCAGTGTGCGAAGACTCCCGGTAAAAAATAAAGTATGGTTAATTTTAATAAGTTGTACTCATCATGCTTATAAATTCGAACAGATGACAAAAAAAGGTTTACGGAATTTGAATCCATACTTTATTGTTCTCCCATGTTTTCCTTCCTTGCAAATGCTCCAATCGGGGGATGGGACGGCGTCAAAGTAATTGAAGCAGGCCAAATAAATGAAAAAGATCTCGATATAAAAAGTAAAGCCATTATTGCAAATTTGTATTTACATAACTAAAAGAATACAATATGCAAAATTTCCCATCTGAACTGAGGGAAAAAAGAATCTACTATGTGGCAATGGGGCACTGATACTCCTCAAAGTCAAAACTCGGCAATCCTCATTTCATCTCAAAACTGACCGAAACTTTGCTTCTTAGATTCATTTCCCCCCCTAAAGAAAATCTCCTTTGCATATAAATCTCTCTGCAACCGAGTTGGCTGTGCATGTCAAGCCGAGCAAGCATATTGTCAGAGAAAGACTCAGGGAAATGTTCAGGAATCATCCTTTAAGCGAATAAGGAATGTATGTGAGTATCATAGCATTCCCTGAAATTTTCCCTGATCCTTTCACTGCCACAAACTTAGCTCATGTCAGTATGAATTACTCCATATATTTTATGAGGTTAGAAAAGAATGAAGCTGTTCCATCGGCACCGGTGGAGAATATAATAATCGTGAACCAAAAAAGAATGTGCCCCAAAGCTTCAGGGCAATTGTGACGTCAAAACTTGCCATGCTCCAAGGTTTCGTTTAACCTATCATCCGCCAAGAGTCTTTTGCTTATACCCGTATTTCATCCTGTCAAACAGTTTCTCTCTCGTCTTTCTCTTCTTATCCATTTTTAACCTATACCTGTGTTCCCTCTCCCTCTCGTAAACCCCTTGCCAGTACACTTCACCTGTCAAGGGCCACAACCACTTTTGATATGGAGGGTCATTGTCATCAGCAGCCTCTGCCAGGTCTTCGTCCATACTTTTTAACAAAGTCGAGTTGAAATACTTTGCCCACATAACCCCTCTTCTTTTCTCAACAGGGTGTTGTTCTTGCAACAAACCCGATACAGGATCTACATAAACCATCTTTCTAGCACTATGATATGCCCAAACGTTTACCAACAGTTCCATTGTCCGACAGTAACAGTGATTCTTCTGGTAGAAGAAAGAAACAGAGGCATGAGAAATTCCTTTTTGGCCTTAACATGTCTTTCATCCCAACATACATGTCTTTTGTTTTAGGCTACATTGAATTATTTTGGCTTGTGAATATGATGGAATAAAGCAAAATGACGCATTAAACTGTTTGAGCTTCTTTGTTATGAAGTAACAATCAATCCATACAATTTTTAACGAGATTTTCATCGTGTGTCATCTGCAAACAGTCTCTCTGTACTTTGGTGCAGGAGTAAGGGTGTACATCTGACCCCCTTACCCCACCGTAGGTGGGAGCCTTTGCGGCATTGGGGTAATGTTGTTTTTATGTGAATTACACTTTTTTTCTTTATAGTCCCTTTCCTCTCAATCTCTGCATAAAAAATCTAAAGCAGATCACAGAACTCTAGTCTGGCCTTACAACATGTTTTTATAATCTTCATGTTTTCTTTCTGAAGGTCCAGAAAGTCAAAAAATAAAATTTACTTGGGCGAAACTCCCCTAATATTCACCGGTACAGAAAGTAGATGTAACGTAGAATGGCTGAAGTGGAATTTTGTAAATCATGTTCGTTTTTTATTTCCGAATGGAGGGTTGATGGAGAGGGACTAAAAAGACAAAAACAAATGTAGATGCGAATGATCACATAGGAAAAACTGCAAGGACTTCAAAAACCCTTTATAAGCAGGGACAAAAAACACTTTTCAACGCCTTAGTAAACAATGTTAACATACCTCAATAGCTGATTCTGCCAGTGGACATTCTGACGCATTGCTTGAATTTACATTCACAGCATGGAGGGAATCAACAAAAATCCTATAATTTATATTAAAAAATTAAAAAGTTCACAGATAATTGAACAGCCTTAGATGTCAGATAATACTAGCAGTAAATTAAGCTTCATATCATTTGACAGAAACAAACTAAATACCTGGAGAACATTACAAACTCTAAAAAAGAAGGGGTCGGCATCACCCAGGAATGCAGGGCAGACCAATGACCGCCATCTTCAGGCATGGGCGGAAGAGCTTCCAAGTGGGAAGGTAATCCATACATTTTGCGAAATGCATCTTGGAAGGAATTTCTGCACACACTTTCAATCATGAGTTAAAAGAAGGAGAGATCAACCCAAATATTGTAGTCAATGTTCATAATTGAAACAGAAAAGCAATGCACACCATTCACACATTTAAAAGAGGAGGAAAGAAAGTTGAATTAAGATCCAATACTACTTGATCCGGGGGGGGGGGGGGGGGGGGTCTACATGTAACTAAAGATCCTGTTTGGCAGACTGCTTTTTCGGATTATGAGCCAAAACTTTCGCCCAATGGAAACTTCTTTTTCTAAGCTGGCTGAATCAGCTTACCAGGGAAGAAAAGTAGTGCATGGTTTAATTTTTAATTTAAATTGCTTATTGATACCTCAAAAGATGAGTGTGACAGAGATGCGCATGCTGCGTTGGATGTGTGGGCATACTAGGAAGGACCGCGTGAAGAATGAGACAATCAGACAAAGGGTGGGAGTAGCACCTATTGAAGACAAGATGCGGGAGTCGCGTCTACGGTTGTTTGGTCATGTGCGTAGAAGACCGAGTGATGCACCTGTTAGGCGAGTTGAGATGTGTGGACAAGAGGCAGGGAAGAGAGGGAGAGGAAGACCCAAACAGACGTGGGTTAGGGGAGTTCGAAGTGATATGCTTTTTCTGGGGTTGGATGAGGGCATGACTTTGGAGAGAACTAAGTGGAGGACGGGTATTCACGTGAAGGAGTGATCTTGATAATTTTTTTCCCTCATCTTTTTTTTTTTCGTAGTTTTTTTTATCCTTATATATATATATATATATATATATATATATTTATAAGCATTATTTGCAACCTTTTTATTTTATCATTTATATATATATATTCATCTTTTTTATATTATCTTTTCATAATAGCTTATCTTTTTATCTTTATTCCTTCTTTTCCTTTTGGTTGTGATATCATGTATCGATTCATGTTAACCGACCCCAATATCTTTTGGGACTAAGGCTTGGATGTTGTTGTTGTTGTATTGATACCTCAAACCTTTTGGAAATTGTTTTCTTTTACATTTTTAAATTTTTTTTTTTAGATTTTATCAACAGAACCAGCCCAGAGCATAAAATGGGCTCATATTATATTAATATATCAATGCAAAACCCCGAAGAATAAAAAAAGCAACAAAAATGCATTTGTTACCAACTATGACCCATACTCATATTACAAACAATGCTTTTAGCTACAAAAGTGAACATCCACCTGCAGTTTCCTCCATCCAAAATGTCGCACATAGACCAAAAGGTGAGTGCATTGTTCCTTCCTGCAAGCCCACCATCCACATTTAAGTGTGCCCAAAAATATATAACATCTCCTTTAGTGTTTTCATGTATTGTTTCTTCCAAAGCCTGTTCTGCCCTTTTAGTTAAAGAGACCTGGTATACACGTAACAAGTCCACTCATACAGGAAAGTTTGGACAGAAACAAATATGAACTAGGCGCACAATCTAATCATAGAGACCAAATGCTAGAGAGTTTAAAATTAAGTTGCACTCTATCACAATGCTACACCATGCAGAACTGTTGTAACATTTAGGGTTAAATATTATAAAATTACCAAATGATCCCTGAGGTTCCTGATAATATCAAAAGCACCCCTTGAAATATCTAATATTCTGAAATTGACACTGAAAGATGATATAGCACCAAGTAGGAACTGAGTATCCTAAAAACTTTTTCGTAAAATTAATAAAACCAGTCTTAAACACTTATTCTAGCTAATACCATTATATTTTCTATCGCATTTCAGTAAGGTTGTCATTCGAAAAAATTGACTGCTCAGGGAGTCAAATCATAGTTTATATAAAATTTCAGGAGCAACTTTGTAATTTGACAAAACATCAAGAATGACAGCTGTACTTGACCTTAACATCTATGATTAGGAAAGTTAACAAGAATGAGGATGCACCTGCCTCCCAGTGGCTCGCCATGACTGAAATCCAACCCAAGGTCGCTTATGAATTTTATCTATCCCATTTGCAATTGAAAAAATGCCTCCAATCTCACAAAGGATATCTCTATAATATGTCTCATTCAGCAATGGAAGGAGGCCAACAGCATCTACATCATCAGACTTTAACCTTCGTGCTTTCGTCAACTTAGGCACAGATGCACAATACATTTAATCTAAATTAGAATATTGAATGTATAAAGTAAAAACCAGGAAAAACAGTAAATGCAGAAACGGTTATATAACTATGTAGCTAATATGCTTAACAAGATAAAATTGTCTACGATTCAGGGAAATGGTGGTGCTAGGCAGGAGCCCCACCGCCCCCGGCCCAATCTGAATTTCGGCCAACTTTTTCTATTTATGTTTATGTTTAAGCATCTAAAGTGTAGAATTGTTTGCAATTTTAGTCCAAAAGATTCCCAGCGTATCTAATATTTTTCCCATTTACACATTTAAACGTATATTTTAAATTCTATTCACTACAAGTTTGTGTGAAAATAATTAAAACAAAGTAGATGGAGATAGAACCGCACAAATTTTGTTTTTCAATGCATTAATTTTGTTCTTCAAACGTATATTTTTCCCATTTACACAAATTTTGTTCTTCAACCGCACAAAAGATTCCCAGCGTATCTAATATTTTTCCCATTTACTATTAGAATTAATATGAATGAATTAATTTCCATTTTTAATATGGTCTACCCCAGTAGATGCTCTGGCAACACTATTCATTCAGGTGTTAGGCATAATCCATTTTTTTCGGGGGATCAACAAAGCATGAATGGATTAAACTAAAAGTAGGTTCAGTTTTTTAAGGTGATCTCACAAGGGCTAATCCACGGTAGAGAGAGCCATGATGTAAAAATGGCCAAGCTCCAGCTCCATTGTAAATCTCATAGATGCACAGAGATTGCCCCGTTCTTTCAAGCTCGGCCTCATCCCTCTCATTTGTTTCAAATCTCAGCTTCTCAGCTTTACGAGCATTGCGATACACAACATCCCACTCATCAATGTGTTTCTCCATTCTATCCTCCATCTACACAAAAAAAGTAAAAATAGTAAGTTATCACATGAATTGGTGGAACAAAACATAACCAATGAAATGAGCCATCATCATTATTAGCATTTTAATCTAAAAAACTTAAACTAGTTGGGGTCGATGGCATTAAATTTTATACTTTACTGCTAAGTAGTTGTATAAAGTTACTAACACTAAATTCATGCAAATGTATATATAAACACACATAAGCATATCGTGGCGATGTTTTAAGCTGGATGCCCTTCCTGCTGCAACTTTCATAAGAAGAAATAATAAGATGAACACTCTAAAAATGTCATCATCATGAGTATTTCCACATGCATGGGAACTATCATCACAAGAAGATAAGTAACCCCAATTTTTTTAAATAACATAACCCCTAATCATTAATTTTTCTTTTGGGGGGATGGGGGGCGTACACTAGTTTTACTGATTTCAGTATTTTACCTCTTCCTGTTCTAATCTGTCAGCTTCCTCGGAACTCTCTATTTCTGTTAAAATGTCCCAATCCAACTCAGTTGGAAAATCCACTTCTAGAGAATCACTAGCTTCACTGGAAGCATTCTTCAACGAAACAAGATTGCCCAATTGTTCCTCAAGCTCATATACAACACTCAGATTAATGGGATCCTTATCATCCATATCACCAGTGTTATCTTCCTTTTGAAAATAATACCATTCCCACATGTGCTGCTTAAGAAGAGAAGTATTGCCTGGAAGTACCACGTCAGATGGGAAATTGAAGACATGCTCTATCAGCTTTGCATAGCCTGTAATGCATTCAGCTGCGAACAGGTTCTTTGCTAGCAATCTACTAGAAGATGCGATAGAATAGGCATATTTTGTAAGTTTTCCATCAGAGACCAAAAGTGAGAAAGCCTTCAACAATGCATCAGAACTATGATGTGGAAATGTCATTCCATGAACCCCATCAACAACCTGCAGGTTCAAAAATATTAGAAATACCTCGGTCACAAGAATGAATCGTGCTTCAATCACTTGTTTTGTCCTAAAACATGAGTCTTTTTTATCGGAGGAAGCTATTTCATGTAACTTTCCCGGAAAACAAAAAAAGGTGTAGATAAGTGAATTAAGATAAGCTAAATCAAACGGTCAGCTTTTTATCAAACAGCTACAACCGTTTTCTTTTGAGATCTTTTCAGTCACTAAAAGCTATCAGTTACTAAAAAACCCATAAAGTATCTTTTCAGCTGTGCCAAACATACCCATATGTCAGTTGTTTTTGGATGGGAGAAGTAGTATATACAAAAATATCGGTTTTAAAATATCATTATAAAGAGAGATGAGATCCCTCACATATTTATGTATGACAGGGTAATCAGATGCAACAATGGGTATCCCATATGACATGGCACGTATCAGTTGGGGAGGAAAATTCTGCTCATCTTGGGAAGAAGAATAAAGTACAATGTCAGACATCATTATGAGACCGTTGACATCGCTATTTATTCCATAGCTGTATAAGGATCCATGATGCAGCCCAAGGCGAGTAGCAACATCCTACAAAAACACAGACAAGTAACTTCGATTTATGAGAGAAAACACAAAAATATAAAACTAAATACTGAGCTTTCTTGTTAAACCAATAGTGTGATGACTTGTTAGAAACTGAATATGCATCTTTTAGAAGACCAAGCCCAAAGAATGTAGCAATGAGTAAGTGAAAAGAGGCACTAGAAATTTGGAAAAGGATACAGAAACTAAATAAGATATTTCATTCCAGTAGGTGTCAGGTACACTATCACTTCAGCACGGCTTAATTAGAGCTTTGATCTAAGCCACAATAGTCCAGAAATAATCAACAATAGTCGTGATTTTTATAAAAACTGTATATTTGAGCATCTGCAATGCACAATTTCATAGGAGAGTGGCTAGTCAAACCAGATGACAGAAGACATAAGGTTGCAACAGTATTGTTTTTGGAGAGAACCTACCAACAATAATAGACTAACATGTATACAACGGAGAAGAAAAAGGCTATTGAAGTCTGTGCAGTGGATGAGAAAACCTTGAGTGGGTAGTTGAGGATTTGAGGAGGGCTTTGGGTTCAGGATGAAAGAAATTTCAAAGGTTTATTAATAAGTGATTTTATCTTTCTTTTCATTTTGGCTCTGATGTATGTATCAATTCATGTTAGCCGACCCCAAAATCTTTGGGACTAATGTTTGGATGTCGTTGTTGTTGTATGGTAATAAGTGAATGACTCAGACAGTCGTGGATGATGATATAGTACTAATATACTTATATACTTTGTATTTTTTATATCGTTTGGTTAAAATAATATCACATTAAAGAAGTACTTTCTTAAAATGAAATAACCCCTTCATTACCTCCAATACCTAACTCCAAAACATGCCCTAAGGGAATTAAGTGTAATTTAATACATCAAGCAATATAAGTCCTATAAAGAGAATACAGAAGAAGACACTCTTAATAAACCATAGATATGTTAGCCTCTTACGGACAAAATCTTAAAAAAGAATACACATGAGAATTGAAGTTGTTTACCTGCAAAATATAATTATATCCATCAGTAGTGTTTCCAGATAGAAACATGAATTTTAGTTTATCACTCATATTGTTCAATCCTGTGTACTTTATTAGCAAAGGTTCCATCTCTCGCATAGGTAAAACATAATCCCATGATAGCTTATTGTAGAGGAATGAACTTCCGACAACTAGAACAAGTATGTCATCTTTATCAAAACCATATTCCTCCCTTAACTGGGATTTGGAATGGGTCCTACTGTAGCTTTCAGCAGCCCAAACATCTTTTGGTGATCCAGGGATGACAAAGAAGTTTCCTGTGTCAAGCACACTATATAGCATCTGGGGAAAAAGAAAGATATGTAAGCATAAGAAGGATTTATGAAGCTAATGAAAAATATAGAATAAGTGTGACATGAAATACAACATAGCTACCGGCAAAGAAAAATCTGGAAATACAACAACATCAGCCCTGTGAAAGGCAGCCCTCCAATGGAACATCAGATGCTCCCACCCCATACTCTCATAAATTTGAAGCCTATTTGCTAGTGTGTCTTCATGAACCATCCATATAAGTGGCACTGAGCAAAAGGGCTCCTGCATAAGGCTGCATAAATAAACATAATACTCACAAAACCATAAAGATTTAAACAAAGCAACATGTAAAATTTATCTTAGATAGTAATATATGTCACGATGTAATATGCGTAGACAGTAGATACTGATATCTTCCACATCTTTGTAATCCATGTATTCACTAGACTCTAAATAATTATACAGAAAATTTAGCAATATGTCAAAAATGGCTCTTTTATCTTCCACAAAGCACATTTATATCTATACTCCATATGCATTGAAGTGAAGAAACTCTGAACTTGTTTAAGACCCCAAAAGAGGCATTATGAAGAGCCTTGCCTATACTTATGTGTCAGGTAAGTATCAATCACCAAAAAGTCAAAATTTCATCAGCCAACTAATTAGTACCTTGAAATGGCTCTTTTATCTTCAAGAGAGTCAGCAATGACACCATCAAAACTGAAAATTATGTAAATGTATAATTAGTCTAGACCCGATTAAAGGCTCTACTTAACCATTGAAGCTGACAAATAAAAAACTAGAAAGTAAAAAAAGCGGAACAGAAATTCAGGAGCATCGAGATAAGCAAAAACAGAGGATACGTACAGTGACCAGTCAATATAGATGAATCTTTCAGCACTTAAAACTGAAACATTTCCTATTATTTCCCACAATGACATTGCATTTCCATCTTCTAAAGCATAAATCTGAAGAAAAATTGTGATGCCCTGAAGTAAGAATGCCAACTAAAAGAAATAATAGAGGACAATTATTAAATGAGAGCATAAAAGGAATCTACAAATACAAGAGTCAATATTATTAAATATTACTTAAAAAGTACAAGTTAGATCATGTTATGGGCTTATAATAGGCACACTGGAGAAAAGTTATTGAGAAAGATGTGTAACTATGTGATTGGTGAGTACAAGGAAATAAGTTATAATTAGAGTTAAAGAGACCTGAATGCAGAAATAAATCAGCAACCAAATTGGGTTCCTGGCTTTATCTTATTGGTTTATCCACAGTCCAGAATTTTACCTAAATATTACGTAGTATATTATTTAACTTGAGGATATCATATGATCTAGAGGTGTGAATCATTGTTAAATTAAAAAAATAACAAATCTCGTATGTTTTTCAAGTATACCACTAGCCTCTGTTAAAAAATAATATATAGAGTACCTGGCATTTTAAGTTAACATATTGTAGAAGAGTAATGCTAAGACCCAACAAAAGTCACTACATTACATGTCACTAGGCAGTAGGCATTACGGTATAGGGATGCAGTTTTTATGCATCATATACAAAAACAGTTCTCCTTTCTATAATTCCTAGCAGTGACAAATAGGGAGCACTTTGTTAGGGATAAAAAGCATTTTTCATGGTCCAATATGGAATCCTCCATTGAATACATCAGTGTATTTAAGAAAGTAGCAGTTTCAAGAGATTACCTTGATCAGATAACCCAGATCCTTTAAATTCTTCATTACTGTATATAGCATCAAGGATAGGGGTTTTTTCTTCAAATTCCCTAAAATCTTACATATAGAAAGCAGGGTATTATCAGATTTAAGAAGCAAAACTCAAGCCCAAAAAAAAGTACAGAAATACAGTTCCTTGAACAACACGGACAGTGGACTATAGCGCATACCATACATAGTAAAATGACGAAAATTAAAACAAGAGAGTTACGGAGTGGTATTTATCTACATATGACAGCAAGTCAGCAACAAGGCATTAAATTATTCTGTAACTCACAAGCTTCCTACACCCTATCCGTTATACATAAAAACGGTAACGTAATTACCATATATCATTATCATTATTATTCAAAAAGAAGTTACGTGAGGAGAATGACACTAATTAATGCGGAGTAATATAGATAGATAGATATATAAATATACAAGTACATATAAAGAGAATAGACAATATATATACGCACAGTTGCACTGGTAAAAGATTGAGCACTTACTAGACCAATACGCGGAGGCCGAACTCCTATCCTAGGCAGACTCCGGAGGCGATCAAGACCATTTCCAAACTGAAATCTCTGGGGCGGTTTGAATACCAGTGAGGTTCCTAACTTCAAGTCATCCCTAACTGGCCACGACCATGGCCTTCTCTCACTCTCTGCACCTTGTCTCAACACTGACATGATCGAGCTCTGGAGCGCCAAAGACGCCAACGCAAACATAAAAATAACCAGCAAAGTGCAAAAATAGAACCATGATCTGCCTCTGAAAGAAAAAAAGAGGAGAATTTTCCTAGTCAGGGACCGGTGGTGGTGAGATCGCCCGCCGCCCGCAGACTTCCACTGCCGATCCGCAACAGCAACCGATGAAGGCGGTGCTTTGGAGAAGCGCGGGAGGGAGCCACTCGAATTAGGGTTGCGCTTGAAGCGAAAACGGTCGCGGATCGAGTGGAAAGCCTTGGAGTTGATCGCATTATTATTGCTGTTATCTTCGTCGTCGGAACTCGCCGAGCTGCGGCCCATTAGTGAACCGTTGGTGAGTCGAGTTGGACTCAGCTGTATGGATTGGAACTCATTCAAGCTCTAATCGACATGAAAATTGAATCACTGGAATGCTCCGCGGCGTTCTGTTTCTTCGCTCCACTACTTCACTCGGTTTCTTCCCAAAACAAAGGATTTCTCCGTCATTGTGGTTCTGTTTCGATTTTTTACTTTCTTTTCTAATAAGACGAAAGTGTATTTTGTATAGGCACTACTGTTTTTTTTCTTAAATCACACTTATGTGTACAAATAACGACTCATTAGTGTAAAATAAAATACTCCCTCAATGGCTCAATCCCTCCTTTTTGTGAAATGCACATTCTTCTTTTGTAGTTGTCTAAAAATAAAAATATGTAAATGTTTGTAGATAGAGAAATTTATCATTGATATTCTAAAAGATGATGTAGTTCCTATTATATGACTAGTTTAATATTTATCCTAATCTATGACCTCACATGATGACCTCCATTCACGTGGACCGTTATTTTCCCAACAGTCCCCTCATATTCAACGGTGCGCCCATGTTTGGCTTTATATGTTTGGTCATACGGATATATAAAAATACATGATCATATTATTGAGGTATTTTTCCCTTTGTAAATTCGAATTTATAAACTTTTTACTTTCCAAATTTATCTTTTTATACATCGCTTCACTATTTATGTTATGTTTTCATCTTAATTTTCTTAACACCTGCGTCAAACTTAAATGCATTTTACGTTATGGGACATAGATATCCAAACCAATTATATAGAAATTAGGGATAATGGTCAGATAGGGTCTCGAACTTACAAAAAAATGTCAAATAAGGTCTTATATAAGATGATATGTCCGGCCGACGTCATTTGGGGCGGTTCCTGATGGAATTTTTTGATGAATTTTTTTGAGAATCTTATTCATTAGATCTAGTTTAGTCATACCAAATTTGAACTAAAAATTCAATCTAGAAGGCATTCAAATAAATTCTTGAAGATAACTGCGCTTTTAAGTGCGCAGTTATTTTCAAAAATTCATTTGAATGTCTTCCCGATTTAATTTTTAGTTCAAATTTGATATGAGTAAACTAGATTTAATGAATAAGATGCTCAAAAAATTTCTTCGAAAAAATGAATCGGGAACCACCCCAAATGGCGTCGGACGTACAGAGCATTCTATATATGACCTTATTTGACATTTTTTTGTAAGTTCGAGGCTCTATTTCTTCGAAAAATTATGGTGAATAATGAAGTAAATAAATTCCATCAAAAAATGAAGTAACTAGAACCGTAATAGATAACCATAATACGAAATAGTATGTTTACTACGGAGTAGTAAATTTTGTGAGAACCTTTTTCATAAGTTTGATTTTAATACGGAGTAATATATTAAATTAGGGCGTGTTTGGAATTGATTTTGTTTCTTCTTCTTTTTTTAAGTCGCTACTTTTTTAAAGCAGAAACAGAATCAGTTTTCAGAAGTTAGTCTCCTCATCTTCTAGAAAACCTGATTCTACGAGTAAATTAGAGCACCAGAATCATTTCTGCACATTCACTCAAACACTCCAACTTCTGCTTCTTTCTTTGAAGGAGCAGAATCTGTTTCAAGAATCAGATCGAAACACTCACTTATATGTATAACCAAACAATGTTTTTTCATTCATATTTTAAGTTTTTAATCAACCTGATATGATGCAAAAATGGTTAAAAGTAAAACTCGACTCAAACTTAAGATCCCGTTTGAGTAATTATTTTCGGTTTATTAGTCATTTTTTTCACTAAACACATATCTCGTTAATTATTTTGGGTTTATAGGTCACTTTTTTCACTGCTAAACATTTATCTGTATATTTCTTCCCAGACTAGTTCTCTAGAATCAGTGGAATGCTCCGCTGCGTTCTGTTTCTTCACTCAATTGATTCACTCGGTTTTATTGAAAAAAAGGATTCGAACTATAATCACCCGGTACGTTAGGTGGATGTAAATTGAACTATAATCTCAATCTGACAGATAGAAAATGAAGCACTATGCATATTTTAGCATAATAACCTCTTATCGCAGTTGTCCGGATTCGGACCCGGACCTAACTGGGATGACACTCCCTCCCTGCCGTCCTTTGAGCTACATCCACCAGTTGTCGGTTTTAATTGAATCACCACTGGCTTTTTTCTTTCGGTTTTAGCATAGTATGGACCTCAGTTCACTCGTTTTTTTTTTGTTTGCTTCATCCATTGAACACTGACTTTAATTGAAACTTCTCTGCACGTCACCGTCATCCCTCCGAGGGCAGCCATTGCATCTCCATCACTCTTTCCACTTCAATGCCCCGAACTTCGTTGTTTCATTTTCATCTTGAGGTTTCCTGAAGATCCGATCCGAACCTCCGTTAATACTTGCATCGACCAGGTTTTGTATTCATTCCACCCGTTTTTTTCCACGTCCTGAGATCTACGAAACAGCTGGAGCGGTGTACCGAACTGGCCATTTTTTTACATTTTCAGAAAAAAAAAAAACTATTCTTCAAGAGTTAACTGATATTTCTCAAAAAAGCGACCCCTTTGTAGCAGTGACGATATTTTTTTGTATGACTTGATTCTTTGTGGAACATAAACTGTTATTGTCTTTTGAGTTTTTCCTAAATCTGCCAATTCTAATTTGTTTGATTTTAGCTGATGTTTGGCCATTAGTGTTTCCAATTTTTTGTGGGATTCATTGAGGGGATTTTGACAGGAATAGTTTCTGATCCGTGTTATATTTGTGTTAGAACAACGATTTTTGCTTTAATATATTGTTGCGTGGTCAAATGGTTAGTTCAGCTATATCTAGAGATGGGAAAACTGGTCAGTTATATTGACTATTGAGACGTAAGACAGTTACTCAACATTGCTATATTTAGGAGCAAAGTCTTTATTTAAGATGCACATTTCTGTATAAACGCATCTCACCTTTAGATGCAATTTTGATTGAAATGACTGGAGTGCATTTTCTTGAAGTGTATTTGATTTTCCGTTGTCTAATTACCCAACCTTAACTCCATCTTTGTGTACTATTACAAATACATCGTACCTTTTTTGCAGGTAAATCTGTAATGTTTCCTTCCAGTGGTTCACAGATGTTAAGCTAAAGCGAACGCAAACTGATAGCACCAAGGATGAAGGGAGGTTTGAAGGTTTCACAGATCTCTCTCATCCTTATTGGTTTCATATGCATAACTGTTCTGACGTTGGCTTTTGTCAAAAGTCCGTTTCTATCTTCTTGGAGACCATCTCAGAATAATATCCTCCATCCATCACCAGGTTCGGAGAACATTTCTTTATTGTTCATTTGTTCTAAACAGTGTATGACTGTATGTCAATTTCTTTATGAAAATGCAATAGCCTATCAACTGACTGTCCTCAAGATCAATGCAGCATATATCTGGGATATTTTGACTAAGTAGCACGGAAACGGGAAACGGGAAACGGGAAATGTCGGAAACGCCATTTACCAAAAATACAGGACACGAAATGTGGGGAAACGCGCAAATATTAAAAATATAGGGGTTATTTTATAAATATTATATATATATATATATAAATTTGTGAATTTTTTTATATGTATATATATATATATTCCGTATATATTTACACACATACACATATATATGTAAATTAAAGTAGCAACTTTTGCTGCGTATAGTACTATAGTACTCCACTACTGCCATATTCCTATACTCCGTATATCATACACATTTATATGTTTAAATGAATGAAAAATGTTTAATAAATTTCATAATCACTTAGTGGACAGCTGGACATCATCAAGTTCACCTACTAGGCCAAGTCTACAACATTACTCATACTACTCGCACGTTTAATTTCAACCCCAAATCCCACCCACCGACTCAGGGGAGAAGTGTGCTGTCGAGAAACCAAATCAGACCAAGTACAAACAGAGCCGGACAGCTTGAGATGGCAGATAACACAATCTGCATAGCAGAAGGAGAACAGATTGTGACTTTCCTTGACCTGCTGAAGACGAAGAGCGCAGATACTAATAGGATCTTCGCTGAAGACGGCCAATCACTGAAGAAGAAGAAGTCCGCAGATACTCCGCAGATTTCTAATTTCTTTGGTTTTTCTTTTTTGGTGAAACTCTGTTTTGGGGGGAAACGGGTTTCCAAACTTTTGAAAATTAAGAAACGGGCCTGACACGCGTTTCGGACGTTTCTCGCGTTCGGAAACGTCAGTACGTTTCCGATACGGGGAAACGCTGGCCTTTCCACATTTCCGGGCATTATAGTATTTTGATGAAAAGAAGAAAGAATTGTGAGGTGGAAAATAATAATAATAAGTCCCCTTCGTTTGAGGATACCTAATAGTTTCTTCTTCTGTAATACTCTACTAATTTAGTTTAAGAAAGCGTAAAAGTGATCTTTACTATGACCCACCTTTTTACCCCTCCTTAATAATTTCTTTTGTTTTATTGTTTCGCTGGAGGGTTGGGGGGGGGGGGGGGGGAAGGGTAAAGGGAGAAAAGCGAAGGGATGTTGTGAGTTTGGTTAAGGAAGTTTGGGAGGGAGGGGATTGGCAGAGCAATAGAGTCCTCCAAACACCTTGTATCTTACTCCCCAATTTGGATATAGATTATTATTGATATGCATACAGATTGCTACTTTTTACATACAACAAAAACACATAGTTATACTACGTAATACTTTTATATCTTTTCTAAAATAATACTTCCTAGTTCCTCCTCATACTTTCATTAAGGTTACTGTGACAATTAAGTGCATAATTGTTTTCTTTTCCTTTTCTCTCAATGAAATTCTTGATGATCCCTACTGAATGACTAATTCTTCATTCAGTGGTAGATCCGACACCAAAATCTGGAGCAAATTTTAGAAAAGGAAATTCTTCAGTACAACCAGATGAAGTTGTAAGCTCTGTATCACTAGAAAGTTCTATCGACAAAAACACTTCTTCACAGAGAAAAAACACAGAAGAGCTCATTACTCAAATTGCTGAGGAAGAAGGTAAGACTTTTAAAGCATGGGGGAATTTGTTCCCTTGTATCCGTAATGGGTTACATTTCATTACATATTATTATGGACTACCGAGCTACCTTAGTGACTACTTATACAAAACATGTGCGTCTAAAATAACTTGATGAATACTTTTCTCTTTTTTGGCATTATAAAACAGTCGTGAAGAAATTATGAAGAAAACCATGCAGGAGAACTAGAAGAAAGAAAATGTAGAGGAAATATAAAAGATAGCATGAAAATCAATGAATTTATTTTCGGTACTTTGTTTAAAAATCGCAAACATTTTCGATGAAACAAATACATCCGTTGTAATTATGTGTTGTGATTTGCAGATAGTATTGTTAGAGACACAGACACCAAAGGAGCAGATAAGACAGAAGTTTCAGGAGGAAAAAGTAAATCAAATGCAGACAAAGACTTCAATGCTTCATTGCATTCTGTAACCACAGAGAATCACTCCCAAGAGCAACCTAAAGAAAATTTGACAACTCATTCAGAAAAGAGAGGTTTCACTTATTTTAAAATATTAATAATTAAAGATAGCCTTTAATCTCTAATGTAGTCAACTAATTATAGAGAAACATATTGTTCAGTTATCGATTACTATTTCCTATCTTTCCTCAAATTTGCAGATTGTAATTTTGCCAAAGGTAAATGGATCAAGGATGATAGCCGCCCTTTATATTCTGGGAGTGCCTGTAAGCAGTGGTTGTCATCTATGTGGGCTTGCCGCTTGACACAACGCACAGATTTTGAATACGAAAAATTACGTTGGAAGCCTAATGATTGCAATATGGAAGAGTTCACAGGCCCTAATTTCTTTAAAAGGTGAAATTTTGTATTTGTGTTCACTGTTAATCCTCTCTAGTTACAATGGATTAAGGATATGTTTGGATCGAGGAAGTGCTGGTGAAAGGAAAAAATGCTTAGAAAAATTATTTTCTTGTGTTGATTTCTACCTTAGGAAACACAAAGAAAAATGAAAATTGGCTAATGTTTCTAATCTTTTTTACATATGTTTAGATTTCTCAGCTTTCACATAATTGAAAAAACTAAATAAAATTAGTTGTTTGCTAGATATCAATAACAAATTATTTGCGCTTGTCGAACGAATTCCCCCATCCCCCTCTCCACACCACTTTTTCTTTCCTTCAAACTTTTCCAAACATTTTCTTTTCTGAGTATTTTTCAAACGGACCCAAATTGAGAGATTCTTTAAACTTGATGGTCCTGCTTGTTCCAGGATGGAGAACAAGACATTGGCTTTCATAGGGGATTCCTTAGGCAGGCAGCAATTCCAATCATTAATGTGCATGATAACTGGCGGTGAAGAGAGACCAGATGTCCTCAACGTAGGTCACGAGTACGGACTCGTAAAGGCCCGTGGTGCAGTACGGCCTGACGGATGGGCCTACCGGTTTCCAAGCACTAACACCACCATTCTTTACTACTGGTCCGCAAGTCTCTGTGACTTAACACCCATCAACTCATCTGACCCGGCCACCCATTACGCCATGCACCTGGACCGTCCGCCTGCATTCTTGGCCCATTTTATTCCTAAATTTCATGTTCTCGTCCTGAACACAGGACACCATTGGAACAGAGGAAAGCTGAATGCCAACCGGTGGGTCATGTACGTGGGGGGGAACCCCAACACGAACAGGAAGATAGCAGACATCGCCGGGGCCAAGAATTTTACTATTTACAGCATCGTCAAGTGGGTGAACTCGCAGATGGGTAAATACCCGGATCTGAAAGCATTTTACCGGTCAATTTCACCTAGACATTTCTTCAATGGGGATTGGGATACTGGGGGCACGTGTGACAATACCACCCCACGCTCTTCTGAGTTGGAGGTTTTACAAGATGAATCTGCTGATTCTTCTGCCGAAGGAGCGGTCAGAGGGACTCAGGTCAAACTTTTGGACATTACGGCTGTTTCCCAGCTGAGAGACGAAGGGCACATATCACGATACAGTGTGAAGGCGACATCTGGGGTGCAGGATTGCTTGCACTGGTGCTTGCCTGGCGTTCCTGATACATGGAATGAGTTACTTTTTGCTCAAATCTAAGGGACAGAAAAAGCTGTTGAAGAACTATTCAGATTTTGGGTATATTAAAGATGATCCATTGCCATCTGGTGGAATATGGGTTGTGTGTATATGAAAGGGATAGATTAGTCTTTTCTAGCAATAAGGATAATAGTGTTACTGTATTCAAGGTTTTTTTAGTGTACATTTTTTCCAGATCAATTTATTCTTGTCCAGTGATGAAGAGTTGCAAATGATTACTTCTAGCTGAAGACCACCATCCTGTTTGGAATACCCCAATCCATAACAAGAAAAGGTAATGTTTCATTTTTGGGGCAATTTTATCCCTAAAAAGTAGTTCAAGTTTATCAAACGGAGCTATTCATTTTGTCATGAAGTTACTTAGTTACATGTGATAGATTTAGTAGTATGAGTAATAAAGCTAACAGCTGATGCATGTTATTTGGTCTGTGACACAAAAATAAAAAGTCGTGGAACTGAGTATGAACTGGAGCAGAATTCTCAATTCTACACTACAATGTGGAATTGTTTTGCTCTTCTCAATTACATTACATAGAGAAAACGTGGTCAAGATGTGCAATTGATCTCATGAGTCGGTCACAGACTCATGCGTGACACAATAATAGTAAACACCAACTGCTCATAACTCTTTGAAGAGGGTTTGTTAATTATGAAGAGACCATTATACATTTATACTACATTGCTATAGCCTACAAACAAACATGCATTTTCTCATTAACAACTGTGTAAACATTCAGTTCCAAAATGAGAGAGTTCTAAAAACGAATTGATGAAAGAAGATTCGAAAGGTGATCAAGTGAAGTAAATTTGTAATGGTGAGTTGGTGATATTATTGGTGAAGTTAACCGGGTTGAGCCATTGGGTATGGGTTGACCTGTGACCCGATCATTTAGTTAGGTTGCTTCCCGGTCAGGTTTTTACTAACATAGGTTAAGAATAACCACTTTATGTACTCGGTACTCCTAATATTATTCTCTTTCCATGAATTAAGAGCCCGTTTGGAGACCTCTTTTTTCGGCTTATCAGGCTTATCAGCCAGCTTTTTCACCAAACACGTAACTTTTACTTTCGTGTGCTGAATTGTGTAATAAGCAGAAAAAGTAAGGTTGGAGTTACTTTTCTGGCTGTATTGGCTGAAGTTACTGCAGAGGACCATTTTAGCTATTTTTACATGTAATTTTTTCTTTAATTTATTAATAAAATATATTTTTATAATATTTTTTTCTTGAATCAGCAGAATAAGCCAAAACAGCCACTTCAGCCAAAACTTCATAAATTTCAGCAGAATCAGCCAAAACAGCCGATTTTCGTGCTACCAAACGGGTTCTAATTAAAAATTAAAGCTGACTTTTAAAACTAGGTTCCTAAAAAAGCTCTTGGAACATGTGACTCCGTATTTTTTAAGGATACAAATCATACAACGAAAAAAATGTTTTCATCCTTGATTATAGTTTACGGTATCTAAAAGAGAGTGCTATTTTAAATTGTTTTAAATAGGTTTTTAATCCCAACAAATATAATACATTTTATTTTACATCATTGATTTTTTGTTTTGTTTTTCATTCTTGAATTTATGTTGATTTTGTTTTTAGTCCATCATCGATGATAACAACCTCCGTTCGACCTCAAAATAACCCCGACTAATAGGTTTCCTCTGATTCTTTATCATGCTATTCAAAAAGTATTTCATTTTTACTTTCAGAAGGTTTTTAATATATATTTTTAAAATGTGAATCATTAGTTTTACATTCAACTTTCATATTAGCATAAAAATTTGATAAAAGGATAAATTTAAATGTTTCTAGTAGATTTATACAATTGAAACAACTTTTTTCTAAGTAGAATGATTTCGTATGTCGTTAGCCAATCTTTGTGAAGGCCTGTCTGTGTCATCCCTTCTCGTTAGATATTCACTCTCCTTTTGTTTTCTCAGAATATTTACCTTTCGAGTACTTTTTTGAATTAATTTACGTTATGAGTAATAATATATCTAATTTAGGAACAAGTCTATTTTTGGCAACTCTCTTCTATTATTAATATATTTGTCAGGGCTTCTATTGGAGTAACATTTCTCATTATTTCACATTTTATCAAGAGTTAGAGTGTAATTTTTTTTCTCTCCTAACCCTAAAACTGCCGCCACCATGCATACGGCAACCGCCGCCGCCGCTATGACTCGGATCCAGTTTCTTTGGTTCAACTTTTTCCAGTGCCCCTGGTGTGTCCCGGCCAATGGATCCGCTCCTTTTTTAGACTCCCATGGCAGCCTTGGGACAATCCATCTTCCCGGTGTCTAATGTTACTCAGATTGTTACTACAATACTCGAGGCTTTCGAAGACTATCCCACCTGGCACACTCAATTTAAATCATTCCCGGTCTCCCAAGGTTTGTTTGGTTATGTTGATGACTCCACCCAGGTACATCCCATGTACGCATTGATTTTAATAATCGTTAAATCGTTAATACCGATTACTGTCATTGGTCACAGGTTGATCAAACAATTTGTTCATGATTGTTTGCTACTCTTACTCGTAATGTATTAATTGATGTACATGATGTCAAACATTCTTTTGGGATCTAGGATCGATTGCAAACCCGTTTTATGTCTACTAATTTAATTAGCTAGATCTATGGAGCTTAAGCGTCTGTTATCTCACATTAAAAATAAGAAAAATCAATCTATGAAAAATTATTTGAGGGAAATAAAAAAATTATCTGATGCTCTTGCTGCGATTAACTCTCCTTTATCAGACAAGGAGTTACTTCAGTCTACTCTTATGGGTCGGGTCATGAGTATGAATCCATTGTCTCTAGTCTCCACTATATCCTTGTTCCCTCAAAATTTTCCTCCTCACATCTTTCATCCGAGGATCCTAGAGGTGGAACATCGTGTTCTTTTCCTTTGTCAATAGGATGCTACTCCAGTTTATCAAGCCTCTAGAGCTCATCATGGATTCGGCCAGCACGTGCCAAACGCAGCACATCGAGGCCGCGATAGGGGAGGCCGCTTTCCGCAACAAGGCCCGCCGCAGGGACATCATGCTCACGGCTCCGGCTTTTGGCAGTAGCCGGGACAACCTACACCACTGAGATCTACTTGTCCACTTTAATTAAATATTAATGTTATATCTATTTGTGGTACTACCTTTGACTATGCAGACTTGCCATCAACCGAGAGTACTCTTGGTTCTATACCTCCACCAGTGCAGGTGATATGGGTGATTATGTTTTGTCCACTTTAAATATTAATGTTATATCTATTTGTGATACTAACTTTGACTATGCAGACTTCCCATCAGCTGAAGGTATTTTTGGTTCTATACCTCCACCAGTTATGTGTCAACTTTGCTTTTTTCCAAGTCATTCCACTCTTCATTGCCACTCTCATTTTTCTCAACCGTCTTCACCTGCCCTCCTCACTCCACCTGGGGAAGCTAATGAAGCCTTGAGGTATCCAGACTCTGGTGTCTCTGCTCACATGATTCTGTCTGAAGGTATTTTAACTAATAAATCTACTTATAATGGCCCCACTCGTGTTAGTGTTGCTAATGGTACCCATCTTCCCATTAAACATGTTGGTAATAATCAACTTAAAACCTCTGGCCACCCAGAGGAAGCGGTCCAGCCCAGCTGGTCGCAGATTCACTTTCCCTTACGGGAGGTCTCAGGTTCGAAACTCAATGGAGTGAGTTTCAGTCCTGATAACTCCAAGTCCCCCAGCCCCTCTCTCCCAGACGCCCCCTGGAGTAAAAAAAGAAAAAAACCTTCGGCCGCCCATTCCTATTGAAATATGTTTTTCATCATGTGCCTACATTTCAAATTGAATTAAATTTAATTTCAATTCAAAAATTGTGTGCTGATAACAACTGTATTGCTATTTTTTATGACAAATCTTTTGTTGTTAAGGACAAAACTTCGGGGGCGGTTCTTCTTTTGGCAACTACTAATGGTCATCTATATCCTCTCAGCCTGAGTCCACCTCCTAGCTTAGCTTTAGCCTCTATCACCACTTTTGGCCCTCTGTGACATCGTAGATTAGGTCACTATGGTGAAAATATTTTACGTATTTTACGCTCTCAAAAACATATATGTGGCCATGGTAATTTTCCGCATGATTGTATTTCTTGCCAATTAGACAAATCTCAACGATTACCTTTTTCAGATGCTAATCATAATTCTTTTGTTCCTTTACATTTAATTCATTATGATGTGTGATATGTTAGATGATTGGACTTATACTACATGTAATATTCACAGTATATTATTTATCGGGTTTAATTGTATGTTATATGCTATCTTATATTTAGGCCCAAAACTTAGTGGTCCTATGGATATTAATTTAAGTGGACTAATAAGTTATCTAATAAGGTATATGGCCCAAATGTGTAGAGACTCATGGGCTTGACCTAATCAATGATGGGCTGATTAGAGTTAAGCACTCTCTATAAATAAGGGGTTATGGTCCCTAGTTGAACACACCACTCTGTCTTTCTGCATCCCATCGCTAGAGAGATAATCCCGAGGGTGTGTATCAACTAGAAGACGCAAACCTTAGCCTCCGTCTCCCGGATCTCTAAAGGTCATCTCCAATGGAGTCAGGTACGCTTCCGCTCAAGTTATTTCTCTCGATAATTCCAATATGAAGATTACAGTATTATCGGATTTATTCCAACAATTGGTATCAGAGACTCCTTCATATTGAATTATTTGGAGTATTCGTAGTTTTGTTTCGATCTTAAACAATTGAATTTGTGGACTTTCTTTATATTTTCCGATTAGACGGAACCAAGTTTCATACGAAGTATTTATTTATTTTTAATCGCAATAGCATTTGCGATTGTTTTTATGAGTACATAATCATTTTGAATTCAAACTTATCTCATTGAGATGTTCGTGATTGTATACGTAATGTTTTGTGTATCTCTATTTACCCCAATTGGAATTCCACTTCAACTTTATATGTAGTTGATGTGAAGCAACAATCATATTTTGTTTTTCTGGTAATCTACTAAAGATGAATTGCGAAATACGAGTACATATTTTTTTGGGTATTTTTTTTTATTATGGTGAATCGACAATTGATGATCGAGTGAAATTAAGTATATTTCTGTTAGACAATTACGGCTTTCATAATTGTCAGATTGTTATTTTTTGGGTTTTGTTTTGGGATCAGTCAATCATGTGATTGAATAGGTTTTGGGTTAAATAAATCCTACAATTGATTTTCTGGAAGATAGAATCTATGGTTAAATTTTCTTTACTGTTTAATTTTTCTTTATTAGAAATATCCAGTTAAGTGATAAATATCAGAATCACTTATTACAGAATATTATTAATTTATTATTTTGGATGTGGCTGAATTGATTCATAACG